TATGATAGAAAGTTGAATTTTGAGACAGGTATATAGTAGTTAATAAAATTACTGAGATTTTATATTTGAATGATTTAGATTGACTCTCAAAACATCAGAATTTCTGTAACTCTTTGGTCTATGTGGTCAGACAAGTGCATCCTATTTGTGCATTCTCAGCCAATTGTTGCAAAACTAAATCAAATGACCATTTTTATCTGATATTTCTTTTCAATTCATATATTTTCACATATAGTGAGTCTATAGAAATACCAACATAACTATTATTAAGACTATAGACTAGTGAGGATCCCATGGTACTCTTGTTCAACTTGTCTGTCTTAAAGAGATGTAAGGGGAATACTGTATCATTGTGAATCTAAACTTAAAAAAGTTAATGATATATTGTTTGAGCAGAGTAGTATCTTCATGTTAATTTGTTATCCTCTTTGGACCTATGTTCCTCACAGTAATCTACCTTAAGTTTCATTTAATTGACATTTAACCTTGTCAAGGATAGATAGACTCATAATATTGTGTTACTGACTGAGGTGAACTCAGCTAAACTAAATCAAATATTTTCAAGTATACACTTACATGGAAGGGGAAGAGGTCAGTGCTCAGTCTACATAAAGTTATTTATTTCAATGCTTCCCCTGCTTATCTGATTTAGGTCTATTTTTCAAATCTCATTCCAGGCTTATTGATCATCTTCAGTGCTTTTCTGGCCTTTTCAGAGCTTAGAGCCAAACCTAAGGCCAAAATGAGGACACAAAATAGGACACATTTGGTAATCCATGTACCCTTAGCCTTTCCATCACACTGTTTAAATGTTAGAAGTACAGTATATGTAGTTAACAGTAATGAACATTTAATTATATACACTTATGTGTGTAAGTTCACATACATTAAGACACACATTTGATCATAAGTGTCCCATGCTCTAACCATTATGCTTGACAGCATCACTCAGAGTAGCATAAAACTTCTTGTTTTCACATAATAATGGAATGGAAAATGAAAGTCTATATTCTTCTTTGTGCTTTGTACTCTTTACGCAAGACAATGATTTTGTCTTATCCAAGCTATAGTCTTGGATGGCTTTGTTTTTCTAAAGTTTGCAAATAAATAAATTGATTTATAGGTACACATGAACTGGGCAAAGATACGATCCCAGACAAGGTGATTTCTCTCAGCTTTTTTTTAACCGATTAATATTTGGTATAACATATGGCTATTTTCAGACTGTTATCAGAAGATGGTTGTATATTCCTCTCTAAAATTTCTGAGAAGTGTAATGATAGCATCGATATTTTGGAACTGGTGACTTTCTCTGATTTTTTCAAGCCATGGATCAGGTGTTTTATCCTTGCAGTTTTTTTAACTCTCTTTTAATATTGCATCCCTAGAAACAAATCTGCTAATTTCTCTACATTATGCAATAATTCAAGGAGAAATTTCACCAGTCTGATAAGTATAACCCAACAGTTTAAGCTTGCCTAGGTCCCTTTTCTGTACACATAAATTATTTAGCCTGAATTGCTGTATTATTATCTTAATTCCCTGCAAACATCATTAGAATGACTTTTATATCTTTTTTCCATTTTTATAAAAATCAAACTTTTTCCAGTTTAAGGTCTCCTTTCCCTCCCTTCTTTCAGTTGTTATTTTGGCATTTGAATTTATCAGTATGGACGGACACACTTACACATACCCCTCCCTGTAAGTGAAGTTTGTGATGGGTGTGGTATATAGGCAGAGAAACATGTCAGGATTATGTAACTTACCTGTTGGACTTCAGAAGTTAAGTCAGTATGAAATCCTGAATGTTTATCTTCATCGTCTAAAGGCTTTTGTCTCTGAATTTCAAAAGACAACGGTATATAAAAGTATCCCTTGATGGGTCACATAAAGGAGAAACCTCATTTGGTTATTTCAGAGTCCTCAGGGACCGGCAGTAAGAAGTAATTGGGATTGTTCAGAGACACTTTTGCCACTGCAGAGCATGAGAAATCATTTTCCACCTCTCACATTGACAATACTTTAAAGACATCAATCAATAATCAAGAGAGTATTGAAAGATATCACTAGCTGTGAATTGTGAGTTTTTGTATGATGTTTTGCCTTGGCTGTAGTTTCTTTTCTACAGTAAACATTTATGATTGTTCTATTCAGGCAAAATGGGAATATTCAGTCTAGATAATTTTAATTCTAAATCTTATTAAAAGTGAACTTCTCCTATGTTTTAACTTTAATTTCTTGGAATTTATTGATAAAGGATGTGAGATAATTATTTATATCATTGTAATTAAGTTAATTCCACTGAATTTTATATTTCCTTTTCCATTTAAAGATATGTGTAGACAAGTCTGCTTCAAGTTTACCCATTTTTCTCCTTTTTAAGAAATGAACTGTTTTTAGAACAGGTTTAGGTTCACGACAATATTAAGAAAATGGTATTTTCCATACGTGTGGTATTTTCCTTCAGACATGCATAACCTCCCCTATAATCAACTTATTGCACTATGGTGCATTTGTTACAAATGATGAACCTAGGCTGCCATATAACTGTCACTCAAAACCCACACTTCACACTATAGTTAACTCTTGATTGTACATTGGATGGATTGGGACAAATCTATAATGATATATAGACATCATTATAGAATCATATGGATTAGTTTCATTGCCATAAAATCCCCTCTGTTCCATCTAGTTTTCCTTTTCCCCCTCTATTCACTGACAACTACAGACCTTTTCCTGTCTCCATAGTTTTTCATTTTCCAGAATGCCACATGATTGGACTTATAGAATATGTAAACTTTTTAGATTGGCTTTTCATTTAGCAATATGCATTTTTCTCCAAGCTTTTAATGGCTTCCTAGCTTGTTTATTTTTATCACTGAATAGAATTCCATTGTCTCGGTGTATCATAGTTTATTTAACCATAAGCCTACTGAAGAACATCTTGATTGGTTTCAAGTTTGGGTACTTATAAAGAAAACTGCTCTGAACATCTGTGTGCATTTTTTTCAGGATAGTTTTCAGTGCATTTGGGTAAATACAAAGGAACACAACTGCTGAAACATAACTGTAAAAGTATGCTTAGTTCTGTAAGAAACCACCAATTGTCTTCTGAGGTGGCTGTACCATTAGCATCCCACCAGCAACGAATGAGAATTCTTGTGTTTCCACATCCTTGCCAGCACTTGGCGTCGTCGGTATTCTGGAATTTGACCATTCTCATAACTGTGTAGTAGTGTTTTATTACTGTTTAATTTGCATGATCCCGATGATACCTGCCTGATGTTTGACTTCTTTGGTGAGGTGTTAGTTAAGGTCTTTCCCATTTTCAAAATAGGACTGTTTATTTTCTTATTTTGAGTTTTAAGAGTTCTTTTTATATTTGGATAGTGGTCCTTTTCAGATACGTATCTCACAAATCTGTTCTTCATCTGTGGCTAGTGGTTTCATTCTCTTGACATTGTCATTCAGAGGGTAACATCATTTTTTTAATTTTAATCAATCCAGCTTACCAATTCTGTCAGAGACTGTGCCTTTAGTGGTATATCTGAGAAGTCATTGCCTAGCCCAAGGTCATCTAGATTTCCTGTGTTATCGTCTATGAATTTTATAATTTTACATTTTATGTTGAATCCTGTGATCTATTTTGAGTTAATTTCAGTGATGAGTGTAAAGTTTATGTTTAGATTTTATTTTGTATGTGAATGTCCATTTGTTGAAAATCTATCTTGTATTACCTTTGCTCACTTGTAAAATAAGTTCACTATGTGTATGCAGGTCTATCACGTTCCACTGATCTACTTATTCTCTCTCATATTGTTACCACAAGTTTTCATTTTACTCATTTTATTTTAGAGTGCATTTTAATATCAGGAAAGACAGGTTGATGTGTTAGTCAGTCAGAATTTTCTTAGAAATTCTGTATTTTTTAATGAAATAGAATTATTTTCTGAAGTGAAAACAAGTCCCAGTGGGATCAATCAATGCAATATTGGAAACTCATGACAAACATAGGAGAAATGAACAGCTTTACAAAATTGAGCATTTTCATCAAGAAAGAATTTATGTAGCTTTAAATCTGTCTTTTATAGCTTACAACAAAGCTTTATCATCTTGATTATATGGACAATGCAAAATTTTTATAAAATGAAATGTTACATATTTTGTAACTTTTGTTTCTATACTTAGTAATCTTTTTCCTTAACAAAAATATAGTCGTATGAAATGTTATTATGTCTATATATAGCTGGCAAATGTCAGCACACTGAAATTTAATCTTTAATTTTATTTCTATAAGGAAATTCATAGACCTCATAGCAGTTATCATAGTCAAAAATCTTTTACCATACAAAGGCTCTTTCAGAGAGGAACAGATGGGGGAGGCATGAAAGCTGTGAAGGGAAAAACGTAGGGAGAATAGCAGAAAGTGCAAGAAGAGACAAAGAGGCAGAGAGAAAGGAGAAAGAGGAGAAGGCTCTTTTCACCATATGGAAAGCTCTTTATGGATGAATGGTAATTAGTTAATGATTAATTAGTGGAGTTGAGTGATCATCACTCTAAAATTTTCAGATTTTGT